GAGTCTCAGTGGGTAGCTCCATACTTTGCTCCATCAGTTGCGCATAGTGAGCAACAGCTTCCTGCACGGCTGCCCTGTTCTCAATCTCTGCCAAGCCCAAAACTTCATTCTCCAGGCAGGGAATGTTCCCACTGGAGATAGTATCCACATAGGCCTTGACTAGCTTTGCCAACACTGCATGGATAAAAATAGTACAGATTGTTGGACAATTAGCCAGACATCTTCAACCATCATTACTCATTGTGGCCCACTCAAGAATTTAAGGCATTGCACCATAACATGCTTTCCAATCATCTATGGAGCTTCTCAGTCATCCAGGTCATGGTTGTCCCAAAGGTGCTTTCTCTAAAGGCAACTGGATAGTTAGGAATGTGGCACAATCACCATTTTAGGAGCTTATTTTTCAACCAAGTGCACGAAGAAAGCTCTTTGTAAAAATGAAGCTATGATTTTTTTTTTTTAAAAAGGCAGATAAGGTTCTCAGGTACGGACTCTGCTTGTATTAATCTCAAATAAATATATCAAAAATTGTCCTAAGTGGAGGTACCTTACTTTGCACCGTAATAAATACAGCAGGGGTTTCTGGCACGGAGATGTGATTCAGCCTTCGGTTGCCCCCCCATTCCATTCGCAGCACAAAAAAAAGCTGCAAACTTCAAAGAAAAGCTCTTACCAGCTGGATCTCTCTCTCACTCTTCTTTGCATGAAGAATGAGGTATCTACCAGGTATTTAGGCAGATAACGCAACCAGAAACCCAGGGGCAGCTCGTTAAGCTGCCACCATAAGCAAGGTCCCGCCCCGGAAGCCTTCTCCTTCCTCTTGTCACCTAGAAAGCAACATGTCCATCTTACAAGTAAATCTGAATTGCATCTGCCAGTGGGCACTTCACTGGGGAAAGTCCCCATCCATATTAATTAGCACTGTTTAATTGTTATCCGTACCAAGTACAAGTATCTCCTCTTACTTTGCTCAGCCATCCTCTCTTATAGAGGTCACAAATCTATCATGTGAGTTTTTCTTGTTTCCAAGTCAGTGATTTTGGATAATCTCTATTTACACACTGCACTGTGATTTGCCTAGAAGGATTTAGTGAAAATGCAATGCAAAAATTAAGGGTGATTTAGTCTTTCAAAGTGTCAACTCATCCAACAAAGTATATGCAAGTTGCAATCTGAAATTCCTTGTGGTGCTTTCTGAAATTCCAACCTGATTGAAATTAATCGAGAAAACAGAGCATTGAAGAAATAATACCATTGCTTGTTTTCCAACAAGTAATGTGGTCAGGAAACACTGAGGAAGACAATTCAGTTTTTATTTCAGTGCCATGACTACTGACACTGAAATTGATTTCCTAAGGAAAATAGATTCCTACTGGATATTTTGTTTATTTAGGGTTTTTTAATTCAATCATTCTTNAATAATAATAATAATAATAATAATAATAATAATAATAATAATAATAATAATAATAATAATAATAGTGGCTGACTCTAGAGGGCAGTGCTTATCTCTGTTTCTTAATCCAGGGAGCCACCATTGTCATTTTCATGATCATATAGTCAAGAGGTAGGGAAGGCTGTTATTTTCCCACCTAAGTGGTACCTATTTATCTGCTCAGATTTACATGCTTTCGAACAGCTAGGTGGACAGGAGCTGGAGCAAGGAATGGGAGCTCACCCGTAGTGCGGAGCGCAGATCTCAAACTTTTCCAGCTGACATTTTGAACCACTGAGCCACCACACCCATTTATATGTTACCTGCCTCATTCTCCCAACAGCACTCTCAAATGTTACAGATCCTGGCCTGATAGATTTACAAAAGCCTCCGCGATTATTCATTCAGCAACCCTCATCATTTTGTACCATTATTCCTTTCCTGGGTGTCTCAAAGTATTGTTTCTCCACTTTTTGGAGGTCATTAAGAAATTCCTGGTGGCCACCAGCTCGGGAGTAGCTTCCGTTGTTGATGTTCTCCTCCAAGCCCTCAGATAGTTTGTCTACTAAATCTGAACAGATTTCAGAAGATATCTCCTTATTTTTCTCACAGTACTCTTCCTTCTTGCTTTCCACAGTTTTCTGGTAGGAATAAAAAATAACAAAGCAAAAGATTTGACAAATAAACGCATGTTTGTACACTGTATACATCATGTAGTTGGTTTGTAGACTGTATGTATGAAGGTGGTCTCCCATGATCAAACAGAACTTCACCACAATTTGAAATGGCAGGTGCTCTTTCTTCAATTTAACTAGAGCAGTGTTTCTTCACGGCAATCAGACTTTAAGATGTATGGATTTCAACTCCCAGAATTCCCCAGCCAGCATTGATGACTATGGAAATTTGGGAGCTGAAGTCCACACATCTTAAAGCCACCAAGTCTGAGAAACACTGAAGTAGAGGATAATTAATTCTTAGAACAGAACAGAACATAGAAAGAGGCACTTGATGACATTCCTTGCCATCCTGTCAATCTAAGGTTGATTAACCTTTATCACGAGATAAAAATACACAAAGAAGCAAAAAGTTTAAAAAGTTAAAGGAGAAAGGAGAAAAGTGCAAAGAGAAAGTGACTTCCAATTTTTTTCAGTGCAGTGAAATACAAATAAAATATCTTTTGCTTCACGTTTCTAGAAATGTCAAGCCATTTCTATAACAACTAATGCACTCATCATCAACATTTAAAAGCAAAGTTTCATTGTTTTTCCAGTTTGAGCACAGAGTCCAGAAGCATTTTCCAGGTAGAAGCAAAATGAGAAAAGTTGTTCTCTTTAATTAAAACCGTTTTGCCATTTCCGTCAATTCCATATTTTCTGTATTCTTATAAATTCAGAAAATACTGGAGTATAAGGAGGGGTGGGTTTCTCGCCCCGTTCCAACCGGATCGGTTGGAACG